GGGTTGATAATCTTACGATAAAACAAAGATACTCAAAAGGGGTCCTCCTCGACAGAGAGGCACAGTTCGTCAGATCCAATTGCATGATGGGTCTCTTCTAGAATATGTAAGCAGATACAGGTATCTAGGCTTTGAGGTTCCACTACTTGGACCTGTTGTAACAAGACTTTGTCGCCAATACAAAGAACGACTAAGAGCACTTAGAGTTGTGGCAGGGCTTCATCACCCCAGGTATGGTGCGAATGTTAAAATTGTGAAAATGATGTATCTGCTTATATTAGATCATTGGTTGATTATGCTGCGCCACTACTTGCTCTTGTGTCTGACTGGAAGCTTGGAGGGCTGGAAAAACTGCAGAACGAAGCAATGAGGATCATCCTAGGATGCCCTCGTACTGCCAAAATTTTAAATATGCAAAAAGAACTTGATATTCCAAGCATCAGAGATCGTGTTACTGAAAGAAATATCCTAATTGGGGTTAATATGCTCAGGCAAGCTCATTCAAACCCCTGCACAGAAGCCCTCCAAACTTTCCTCAGCACTGGTGAACACTCCTCCAGATGGATCGAAAAGACTGGAACCGACCTCCGCATGAATCAGATACATGATCTATGTCAAGTAAGGCAACAGCGGCACTTCTCCGCTCCATGGAATATTACCCCATTCCAAACTACCATTCCTTCCAATTTCCCCCCCAAACTACTTCTTAAAATCACAACCAAAACTTCGCCTTGAAGCCAACATGAGGCCTTAAGCTGTATTGATAACTTAGTCACACAGCACACACTCTCGCAAATTATTTACGTGATGGTTCTGTTCACCAATCCACTGGTGCAGCTGGTAGTGCTGCTGTTGTCGTACAGAGTGATGGCTCTCTTAAAGAAATTGGAGCACGCATCAATAAATTGGGCCTCTACCCTTCAGACAGAACTGTTTGCCATACTCCTTGCACTGAAATGCATCTATGTATCAAAGATTGACAGTTTAATTGTAACTGATTCTCTGTCATCCATAAATGCTCTCAACTCATTAAGCATAAATTGTGGCATGCTTGTGTCAGAAGCCAGACACAGGTATGGTAGGATTGTGGACAGTGGAGTCAGAGTGCACATGCTGTGGATTCCATCTCACATTGGTCTTCAGATGCATGATAGAACTGATAAATTGGCTAAGCTGAATGCTTTCAAAGAGGGAGTAGATTACAATCTTGGCTTGTCAGGTAGTAGTTTGAGAACAATAATACGAAAAGAACTTCAGCTGAATTTTATGGACTTAAGGCTCAGGGAGATTGACACCAGTAGTCCATCTATCATCATTCTATCATGCAGGAGGAGCCACATGTCTATGGTGCATCCAACAAAATAAGCAGACTCTTGGATGTCACTACCGCCCGGCTCCGGCTGGGTACAAGTATCTTTGGCAGTTAAATCACCACCACCAGATGTAGACCCAAACGAAATGTAAACTTTGCCAGATGGATTATTGTCACAACACCTGCGTCATTATGTACTGGAGTGCGATAAAATTAATGAATTTAGAAACAACTCACTCAGAAGTGTTCAAGAAATGGGCTAAGTATTTTATCCACATGGTATATTACAGACCATTCTGGAGAAATACCCTGACTTTGCTAGCTGTAAATAAAGCATTACCACATGTTGCATGTGTGTGTGTGTGTGTGTGTGTGTGTGTGTGTGTGTGTGTGTGTGTGTGTGTGTGTGTGAGTATGAGTTGTGTGTGTAGAGTGTGAGTGTGTGTATGAGTGTGTGGAGTATGAGTGTGTGTGCGTGTGGATGAGTTTGTGTGTGTGTGTGTGTGTGTGTGTTTATGTGTGTGTGTGTATGAATTTGTATGTGTGTTGTGTGTGTGTTGTGTGGTGTGAGAGAGAGAGAGACTCAGCAATCAACATTTGCACCAATAACTCACTACAGTTGTGACCGGTGTGAAGTGTGAATTGCTCATTACTCTAAAAATTTGTTCATGATTGCAGCCATGTATAAACGTAAGTAACCATTCTTACAGTATTCATTACCTTTGTAACTTGTGAGTTCATTACCTTTGTAACTTGTGAGTTCATTACCCTTGTACCTAGTTCAGCCATCAAAACTTGGAGCCCGGTCCCTGGACCCATTGTGTACCTCTGTAATCTGTAAATACCTTTGTAACTTGTAATGATTGTGACTAGACCTACCTGGAGTTCATTACCTTTGTAAATTGTGAGTTCATTACCTTTGTAAATTGTGAGTTCATTGCCTCTGTAGCTTGCTCAGCTATCAAAACTTTGAGGCCCAGTCCCTGGACCCATTATGTACCTCTGTAATCTTTTGACTACCGCCCACAGGATGGGTATGGGGTGCATAATAAACATATTAAACTAAACTAACTAATAAACACTTCGTCCTAGCAGTCTTTTTTGATCTCAAGAAGGCATATGACATCACTTGGAGGTATAATATCTTAGCCCAGGCCCACTTCTTAGGCCTCTGTGGTAATCTACCACCTTCCTAGCTGCTTTCTTATCTGAAAGACATTTTTGTGTCTGTGTTGGTGCCTCGCTTTCCTCAGACTTTGTTTAGGCCAAGGGGGTCCCACAAGGTTGTGTCCTTAGCACTACCCATTTTCTCTTGGCTAGAAATTACCTACCTTCTTCCATCGCATATTTGGTCGTCACTGTATTTGGATGACTTCACCATAGCTTACGTAGGCGCTGACTGTTGCCTGGTAGCGGCCTCCCTTCAGGATGTGATTGACCATGTTTCCCATTAGCCCATTTCTCATGGATTTAAATTTTCTAGTGTGAAAACTCATTTCATTACCTTCACTAGACATCCTCTTTTCCCAGATATTTCTTTGTATTTACATGGCTCACATATCCCAGAATTTGATATGGTCAAGTTTCTTGGCCGTCTATTCAATTGTCGGTTAACATGAAAACCTCACATTTCCTCTTTGAAGGCAACTTGTCATGGTTGGCTGAATCTCCTTAAAATTTTTGCGCATCGTTCATGGGGAGCAGATCGTCAGACTCTCCTCTGTTTGCATTCCACCCTAGTCTTGTCCAAGCTGGATTATGGCAACCAAGTCTATTCTGCAGTTTCTCCTACAACTCTTTCTAAGTTAGATCCCCTTCATCATCTGCGTTTATGCCTGGGTGCCTTTAGTTCATCCCCTGTTGAAAGCCTCTATGCTGAGAGGAATGTTCCCTCCTTAGCTGATCGTTGTGATGCTCACTACCTTTGTTACTTAGTCCACTCTCATGACCTTCGTGTTCCTTCTTCATATAGGTTAGTCTCACATGTTTGTAGAAGCCCGTTATTTGTTCAGTGCCCTGCTTACTCCGACTGTTTTCTCTTCGTCTTCACTCACTCCGGTCTTCTTTGTATAACTTTTTTGGGTTATCCTAGGTTCTCTACACACATGCTGCTATGATAATCTATGTAACTGTATTTGTGTATACCTGAATAAACTTACTTAACCTAAGCTAACCTATCCCAACCAACCCTACCCTAATCCAACCTACCCTAACCCAACCATACCCAACTTAACCTAACCCCACTTAACCTAACCCAACTTAACTGAACCCCACTTAACCTAACCCAGGGGTGTACACAGGTGACATAGCTGGGATCCTGGTAGGATAGAGGGCTCTACTAAGGTGTACACAGGTGACATATCTGGGATCCTGGTAGGGTAGAGGGCTCTACCAGGGGTGTACGCAGGTGACATATCTGGGATCCTGGTAGGATAGAGGGCTCTACCAAGGATGTACACAGGTGACATATCTGGGATCCTGGTAGGATAGAGGGCTCTACCAGGGGTGTACACAGGTGACATAATCTGCCCTTCATGTAGAGTACTAGTGGTACAATAATCTGCCCTTCTTGTAGAGTACTAGTGGTACAGTAATCTGGCCTTCATGTAGAGTACTAGTGGTACAATAATCTGGCCTTCATGTAGAGTACTAGTGGTACAATAATCTGGCCTTCATGTAGAGTACTAGTGGTACAATAATCTGCCCTTCATGTAGAGTACTAGTGGTACAATAATCTGCCCTTCATGTAGAGTACTAGTGGTACAATAATCTGCCCTTCATGTAGAGTACTAGTGGTGCAATAATCTGCCCTTCATGTAGAGTACTAGTGGTACAATAATCTGCCCTTCATGTAGAGTACTAGTGGTACAATAATCTGCCCTTCATGTAGAGTACTAGTGGTACAATAATCTGCCTTCATGTAGAGTACTAGTGGTACAATAATCTGCCCTTCATGTAGAGTACTAGTGGTGACAATAATCTGCCCTTCATGTAGAGTACTAGTGGTACAATAATCTGCCCTTCATGTAGAGTACTAGTGGTACAATAATCTGCCCTTCATGTAGAGTACTAGTGGTACAATAATCTGCCCTTCTTGTAGAGTACTAGTGGTACAATAATCTGGTGAGAGTGGTGACCTGGAGAGAGAGGCTCCTTGAAGGTGGTGGTGAGAGTTTCTTGATCCAAGGAATGTGATCTATGCCACCTGGGAGTGAACTTATCCTTCCAAGTGGTGCATGACCCCCACGGGTTGAGTGCTCCATCATGAGTAGTACTAATAGTGATGGTGTAGTAGTGCCATCTAGTGGTGGTAGCGATGGTGTAGTAGTGCCATCTAGTCGTGGTAGCGATGGTGTAGTAGTGCCATCTAGTCATGGTAGCGATGGTGTAGTAGTGCCATCTAGTCGTGGTAGCGATGGTGTAGTAGTGCCATCTAGTCATGGTAGCGATGGTGTAGTAGTGCCATCTAGTCGTGGTAGCGATGGTGTAGTAGTGCCATCTAGTGGTGGTAGCGATGGTGTAGTAGTGCCATCTAGTGGTGGCAGCGATGGTGTAGTAGTGCCATCTAGTGGTGGTAGCGATGGTGTAGTAGTGCCATCTAGTGGTGGTAGCGATGGTGTAGTAGTGCCATCTAGTCGTGGTAGCGATGGTGTAGTAGTGCCATCTAGTGGTGGTAGTTGGAGTTAGTCAGGTTATCAGTGATGGTGTTAAAATGAAGGTCAGGACAGTGACCAACCTCAAGGTCACTAAAGGTCAGTTAACCTTCAATGGTCGTACAGGAGAGATGTGTTGCTCCTCCTCCTGCTGCCCCGCCGGCTTTACCGCTTCCTCAGCCTCTTAATACACCTAAATAACGTAAGTATTGTCTAGTGACGTGTTTGTTAGTACAGCAGCAGAGTTGAGCTGCAGCTCCTGGTCCCCGCCACCAGTTTGCTCACTAAATTATTATTTTGTCTTAATTTTCTTTGGGGTGTAATGTTTTGGACAGGGGTGGGGGTGATTGACCTTAGTGGAGGGGTTTTGATGCGAGGAGCTGGAGCTACTCTCCTTCCTCTGATCAAACAATAACTCTCACACTAGGCGTTACATAACCCATAATGGTTTATGTACTTCTGGCCTATTTTTTTCCATTATTGAAAAAACTTAATGAAGATCTCTTGATCCAAGTAACTTGCACCTTGTGATCCAGATAGACTTCCATGTTTACAAATTGTTAGTTATCACGTTAATGTGTAAGAAATATTGATTAAAGAAAATAAAGATTGTTTTACTATGTTAAACATTAATGTTTGTCAGTCAGGCAGTAATGTTTAGTTTATATTACATGGTAATTTTTTTTTTTACACAGGGTTTGACAAGGTTAAGGATCCCTAGCTTTATTGACAAGCTATTTACAGGTTAAGGATTCCTAACTTTATTGGCAAGCTATTTACAGGTTAAGGATCCCTAGCTTTATTGACAAGCTATTTACAGGTTAAGGATTCCTAACTTTATTGGCAAGCTATTTACAGGTTAAGGATCCCTAGCTTTATTGACAAGCTATTTACAGGTTAAGGATTCCTAGCTTTATTGACAAGCTATTTACAGGTTAAAGATTCCTAACTTTATTGACAAGCTATTTACAGGTTAAGGATTCCTAGCTTTATTGACAAGCTATTTACAGGTTAAGGATTCCTAACTTTATTGACAAGCTATTTACAGGTTAAGGATCCCTAGCTTTATTGACAAGCTATTTACAGGTTAAGGATTCCTAACTTTATTGACAAGCTATTTACAGGTTAAAGATTCCTAACTTTATTGGCAAGCTAAGATCTGTTACCTACATCAGCTCATTTGAAAGCATTTTTATTGTTATGAGACATACAAGTAGGGAACAGGATGAAGTTGGAGCCATCTGTGGGCCAGCATTTTCATTTGATCAACTGACTTTATATCGTTGACGTCATTATGCTGTACGAATGTGTTCGTGTATATATATTGATGGTTATAATGTTTCTTTGTGTATATGTGTGTAATGTTGGTTATACTGTTCCAGGTGTGGTAATTGCTGTGCCTGGCTGTGTCTGCTGCAACAGTGATCAACACAGCAACAATGACCAGTCTGAGGAATGGAGACAACCACACTAGTAAATGGTCTGACTCATGACATTTAGTGTTACGTGGAGATGCAGCAGTTGGAGACGTCATCAAGGGTTGGCGGGGCCCACTTGTAAGGTATTTCCAGGTTATAGACCCATTGAAGGTTGGTTTTTTAAGCAGATAGTAACTGTATTAGGTGGTAGGCTGGTGGGGAAAGTATAGGAAAGATTGTAAGCACTTGACATGAAAAGTAGCTTAGTGGGATGTATTAGCTTCTCCCGACCAGTGATGAAATCTCTGGCCAGGAAATAATAAGGAATGTATTCTATAGGTTACCTTGATGTTTTTGGAAAAATTGGGAGAAGTTGGTTTGAAACTAGAGTGAGACTGATTAATTTAGGAAGTTTAGTTAGTGTAATATTTTTTGTAGTGATACCTATCCTGCAGAGTGTAAAGTTGATAACCATCCTCCCAAGTGTAGGAACTGATAACCATCCTGCCAGAGTGTAGGAAGCTGATAACCATCCTCCAGAGTGTAGAAGGCTGATAAACAATCCTGCCAGAGTGTAGGAAGCTGATACCGTCCTGCAAGTGTAGGAAGCTGATAACCATCCGGGCCCATGTAAGGAAGCTGATATACCATCCTGAGAGTGTAGGAAGCTGATAACCACCTGCCAGAGTGTAGGAAGCTGATAACCGCCTGCCAGAGTGTGGGAAAAGCTGATAACCACCTGCCAGAGTGTAGGAAGCTGATAACCATCCTGCCAGGTAGGAAGTGATACCCATCCTGGCCGAGTGTAGGAACTGATAACCATCCGCAGAGTGCTAGGAAGCTTAACCACCCTGCCAGAGTGTAGGAATGATAAACAATCCGGGCCAGAGTGTAGGAAGCTGATAACCATCGTGCCAGAGTGTAGGAACTGATAAACCGTCCTGCCAGAGTGTAGAAGCTGATTACCATCTGCCAGAGTGTAGGAAGTGATACCATCCTGCCAGAGTGTAGGAAGCTGATAACCATCCTGCCAGAGTGTAGGAAGCTGATAACCTCCTGCCAGAGTGTAGGAAGCTGATAACCATCCTAGCCAGAGTGTAGGAAGCTGATAACCATCCTGCCAGAGTGTAGGAAGCTGATACCCATCCTGCCAGAGTGAGGAAGCTGATAACCTTTCCTGCCAGAGTGTAGGAAGCTGATAACCATCCTGCCAGAGTGTAGGAAGCTGATAACCATCCTGCCAGAGTGTAGGAAGCTGATAACCATCCTGCCAGAGTGTAGGAAGCTGATAACCATCCTGCCAGAGTGTAGGAAGCTGATAACCATCCTGCCAGAGTGTAGGAAGCTGATAACCATCCTGCCAGAGTGTAGGAAGCTGATAACCATCCTGCCAGAGTGTAGGAAGCTGATAACCATCCTGCCAGAGTGTAGGAAGCTGATAACCATCCTGCCAGAGTGTAGGAAGCTGATACCCATCCTGCCAGAGTGTAGGAAGCTGATAACCATCCTGCCAGAGTGTAGGAAGCTGATACCCATCCTGCCAGAGTGTAGGAAGCTGATACCCATAAATAACAAAAAAAGGCACAATACCGTGACTGGAACGATACACAAATAACCCGCACATAGAAGATGTTTCGGTCCGACTTGGACCATTTACAAAGTGACACTAACCAATGCTCTTTTCTGTCACGTCAGAGATCATAGCCATCCTATTGACTGGTCTTCTGCTAAAACTGTCTTCCCTACTTCCAACTCTAACAGTGCCGTCTAGTTGAATCCTCTCTAATACACAACTTTCCTTGTGATGAATCTTATTCTGGCTTCGTCTGTGTAGATGCCTTCCTCTCCCACTACATTGTAAAATGCTCCAAACTTCAGAACACCCGTGACTTAACCTGACTCCTCATTTTTTCTTTTTCTTCTTCTCCCTCTTCCCCTTTCCTCTTTCCTTTTTCTCCTCTGGGTTGTTTTTCCTATGTCTCGTGTTTCTGTTCCTTCATTATTTATTTCACCACTTCTCCTTTCACCCACCTCTGTGCACTTGCTCTCCCTCTGTGGGCACCTAGCTCCCTTGTGGGCACCTAGCTCCCTTGTGGGCACCTAGCTCCCTTGTGGGCACCTAGCTCCCTTGTGGGCACCTAGCTCCCTTGCAGTGCTCCCCTTTCTTTGTATTTGACTGGCCTCCTCCCCTTTTCCCCACTACCACCACCACCACTACCCACCACCTCTACATCCACCACTACCATCCACCACTACTACCACTACCACCACCACTACCACCACCACTACCACCCCCACTACCACCACTACCACCACCACTACCACCACCACTACCACCACCACTACCACCACCACTACTACCACCACCACCACCACTACCACCACCACTACCACCACTACCACCAACTACCACCACCACTACCCACCACTACCACCACCACTACCACCACTACCACCACCACTACCACCACCACTACCACCACCACTACCACCACCACCACCACCACTACCACCACCACTACCACCACCACTACCACCACTACCACCACCACTACATAAGAACATAAGAACAAGAACATAAAAAGAGGAACACTGCAGGAGGCCTGCTGCCCATACTAGGCAGGGCCCTACCACCACTACCACCACCACTACCACCACCACTACCACCACAACTACCACCACCACTACCACCACCACTACCACCACCTACCACACCACTACCACCACCACTACCACCACTACCACCACTACCACCACCACTACCACCACCACTACCACCACTCACCACCACCACCACTACCACCACTACACCACACCACTACCACCACCACCACCACCACCACCACCACTACCACCACTACCACCATACCCCCACTCCACCACTCCACCACCCTCCCACACCATACCCCCCCACCCCCCACTACCCCCACTACCACCCCCACTACCACCCTACCACCACCACACCCCACCCTACCACCATACCACCACCATACCACCCTACCCCACCATACCCCCACTAACAATCCCACCCCACTCCCACCACCACCCCACACTACCACCACTCCCCCCATACCACACCACTACCACCACTACCCCCCCACTACCCCCACCACTACCCCCCACCTACCCCCACCACACTATTACCACCCCCATAACTACCACCTACCACTTCTACCACCACTACTAACCACCACACTACCACCACCCCCACTACCACACCCCCCCACACTACCACCACCCCCACCACTCCCAACCACCCCCATCCCACCACCACCAACTACTCCCCACCATAACACCCCACCCTAAACCCCCCACCACCACCATACTAACCCACCACTACCACCACCCCACTCAACCACCACCACTCCCACCACCCCCACTATACTACCACCCCCACTATACTCCCACCCCACTCAAACCCCCACCACCACCACACTATACTACCCCCACCACCACATACTACCACCACCCCCCCACACTCTACTACCCCCCACCACCACCACCACCCCCACTACTACTACCCCCACTACCCCACTATCCCCACATACTCCCACCACCATCCCCACCACCACTACTACCACCCCCACTCCACCCCATACTACCACTCCACTACCACCCCCCCAATACCCCACACCACCCCCACTACTCCCACCCCCACCACAAATACTACCACCCCCACACTACTACTACCACCCCCACCACCACCATACTACTACTATACTCCACCCCCACTACTATACCCCCACCCCCCAAACTACCACCACCACCACCCCAACTACACCCCCACTACACCCCACCATACACCACCACCACTACTCCCCCCACCATACCCCCCCACACCACCACCACTACCCCATACTACCCCCACCACCAGCACCCCATACTCCCACAACCACCACCCCACCCCCAAAATTACTCCCACCACCACCCCACCACCTCCCCCTCCTCCCCCTTTGTTACAAAAAACGCATTCTAAAAGTTAGAGTTTCCCCAGTGAATACTAAAAAGGGACCCCCCTTCTAGCATCAAGCTTTTTACTGGGTTTTCGTAAGTATGTCAGTACCCTTTCCCCAATTTTCATTGAAATTTATTGATTCAAATGCTTCAGGATTACAACGTAGGACTAAATAGAGAAAATAAAATTTAATAAATTTTTTAATTTAGAGGGATATTATCAAATTAAATTAATTAATCCATAAAAAAAATAATATCACTTCTCTCGAGTACAATTTTTGTGCGAAGCACATATCACATTTGTAATTTTTAAGTACCGTCGGGTACATTATCATTTAATAAATTTTAACAAATATGTACATAAGTTTGGTATGTGTGTAATGCCAAGTTTTCGCATTCTCAAGACTCAACTAGACTTAAAAAAAGTGACTGACAAAGCCTCAAAAAAACTAACTTCTTGACCGACGGCAACCAAACATCTGCTTGAAAACAAAAAAAATCTAAACCCAATAGCAATTAACAAGAAACTGGACACAAAATCGGAACAAGGAGATAATTAACGACACTAGGAGGGACCATCTGCAATCCTCCACAAAATTAAAAACCCCCCATACTACAAAATCTTAGTTCAGCATAAAAAAAATCCCCAACTGTATGTACACAAAACCATACAAGTTAGGTCAGAAGCTACAGCCAGGACCCGAGTGTTTGAATTCCTGCACACACAACCTCAGTACAACGTCGAAAATCAAAATCTACAAATTTTCTGTAACAGAGTTTACAAACTAACAAAATAATGAACAAAATCGTCCAACCCCCAGCGATCAAACCCCAGACTGAATACTTCAGGCGGGTGAGCCCCCCCCCTCGAAGTGAAAAGCTCCGTGGAAACCCTGTACCAAACAAACCGGGCGGAAAACGAGCAAAGAGTAAATTACAGTATTAACAATCAAGACTTAAACTACACATATGTTACATCCTATCAAAACAAACAAAGCAAAAAAAAATTTATAAAGCACAATTTACATTTAGTTTTTACGCAAACTAACAATAAAAAATTTTTAATGAAAATATCTAACATAAAATCATTGCAACCCATTCGGGGGTTGCAAACTCCCCCTCCCCCCTCCCCCCCTCCCCCCTCCCTCCTCCCTCCCCCTCCCCCTCCCCCCCTCCCCCCTCCCCCTCC